TTCCTGTCCATAAAAAAATGTTCTGGTTGTCAGCGGGCTGGTGGGTGGCCTGTTTGTTATTGAATATGATGACTCTCAGAGACCAATCTAGATCTTACAAAGCAGCAGGGGTTGAGGGGGTATGTAGGAGGGGGAACATACATACATGAATATATTTGACTATTGCTGTTTTCCTTCTCCAAGATGGCGACGGAGGGGAGGAAGTCAAATTCGACAAGACTGGTAATGACAGATAGAGAGCATATACCAGGAGGATGATCATTCAAAGAAGAAATAGAGAGGTGAGGGTAGAGGTGGTGCTAACGGATAAGTTTGAAATCACCACAGCATGTTTGCTTTTTGCTGCGGGTGCACTGCTTACTTCACAGAGCGTACACCCCCCCCCCCCGAATTCATCAGCTGGGAGGATACCACGAGCTGACGAGCCATTACTGATAAGCCGGTAGAGACGCTCCGACGCGGTGATATGGCATTCATTCTGCACACAGCAGGAAGATAAGGGGGTAGAGAAGGAATTAATGTGTCAATCAGAGCCTGTGCGCTGCCCTGGCAGATGAGTACACCGGAGCCATAAAAGAGCTCATAGACAGGATGTGGTAATGGTCCTTGGAGACTCCCCCCGAGACAGATACACTGTCTGCTGAGTGACTGCTCGGCAAATAGGACCAAATAGAATTAGCCGACCTGGGTGTCCTCCGCTGTGGCTATGGTGATGCGGCTGTGGCGGTGGCAGATCACCCGACACAAGGCTGCTGTGTTAAGGGCTGCAGAGAATATAAGCGGTTCATGCTAACGTTCCGCAGGCAGGCAGACGGCCACTGTATTATTTGCACCGGAGAAAGAATACGGAGGAAATTGGAGTAGCCAGTGAGGATGAAAAAGTGGGGCCTAATGGAGATAGGATGACACTTCAGTAGAGTGCATGAACAAACTGGGAAGGGATAACTCCCGTTCTATTTCTTTCCCTGCCTCTCCCATGAATGAAAATTACCCTTTTGACTTGGAGTATCTCTCACGTGTCAGAGGTTGATAGATTACAGGTGGAGCAGCATTTTTATAGCAGTTGAAAGGGCACTTTGAATAAGACCTGGCGTTAGGACACTGATTGCGGAATTTGTAAGTCTTAAAATAAGTCTTAAAAATTGCTTGACCTAAGTTAGTTTACCAGATTGTAATGTTAATGCAATCCATGAGTAATAAACCAGAAAAGAGGAAACTATTAAAACATTTCTCACAAAGAGCCAAATAAAAACATCTAATTAGGAAGTATGATAAATAAAACATCTCATTCACATTCACATTCAACACTGTCCTTGTGACATCTTGTTATCACAGATGTCACCATTACACAAGCACAACCATTCATTCAACACATTATTTTGTGAAACACTGAACCACTAACACGTGTTCTGGGGCATGTCAATATATTTTAGTCACACAGTCATTAAGTGGGCCAAAATATTTGGATCAAGAATAAAGAAAGATGTTCCCAGTTCCATAGCATGGCCTCAAACTGACTTGAATACAGTTAGTCCTTGTATTGCCAAGACATTTACTCAACATGTTGTTAGCTTCTTTATGAGCATGTGATTTATATGCCCAAAAACTGTAACGTCTGTTAAATACCCACAAGGAACACTTAATTATGTGGCTTCCCCCCCCCCAGGGTGCAGACATAAGTGAGGCAATTCAAGGTCAACGCTGTAATTTTTTTTCAAATGAACACTGAATAGTTTTCATTGTCTTCATTTAATCTTGGACATCATATGACAGGCCTCCCCAGAAGAAACCCCAGTCATGAGAACACAAAGCGTGGCCGATTTACCCAAAAGATCCCCTTTAGAGCAGCCTCGCCTAGAACTGGAGGTGACCCGGCCCATCTCAGAAGAATTCAAGGAAACACATCACTGCATGCTATCTCGCTGCTTTGATAAGAGCGAACTTCACAAGGTGCAGCAATCTAAACAGACTTTCCTGTAAAAGCAACTCGTCAGTTTTATTCAAAATACAGTGTAACTGATTGCACCCAGGGGGCACACCTGGAAGCTATATTCTAATTAAGTTAATCTGTGAAATCCTGACAATGTGGGTGTTTAGGTGGCTGGTAATCTGATGTGAAAGGAGTCTTTGTTTTCATTGGAAAGATACGAGCTGGCACCTGTTTCAGCAAAACGTTACACAAAATTATCGCTGTCGTGTTATCCCCAGTGCGGGCAATTACAAATGACAGTGTTTGTCTTTCTCCTCACGGTACCCAATTTTTACACCGTCGTTTTCTTTTTCTGCTTTTGGTGATGGCCTGTCAAAGTACCCCTTCCCGGTCTTCTTCTTTCCTCAGCAATGTGCTGTGGATGATACGCAACTCTCATCATCTCACCTTAATTATGATATTATGTCTTTCTGAGGAATGAAAAGGTCAGCACTGCTTTAGTCTTTATCCAGATGCTCTTTTTGTCTTGCACTGTTGTGAACAGTATATTTTCAAAGATTTCATAATCGTGAAACCTGTTTTGGAATGTTGCTGTTCATTTCCTGCTGGCTGAGAATGAAAGCTTTTCTTTGTTCAGTACCTCTGCTCCTCAGAATGGAACATGGCCATCATTAGAACAATGGATAATATCTTACTTTGTGATAAAGCTTTCAAATAGAGCATGTGGCTATGTTGATGGGTTGCTATGTTTGGCGTGACACAGATTCTTATTGCTCAATGCTTGGAAAGATTAGGTATTGCGTGTCATAATGGAAGAAGATGGGAACTCTGATTTTACACTCATGTTGCATTTATGTAAGGTTCATGTCTTCCAAAGTCGCTGTTCCATCACATGCTGCTTGCTGATGCAAAGCTAACGTTAGCGAGCAGCAATTGAGGAGGAACATTTAGGTATATATATATATATATATATATATATATATATATATATGTAGTCATTCTTTATGTTAGTAATGTTAAACAAGTCCTGTTACAGATCTGTATTTGTTACTTCTTAAGTGACCTTAAAAGGATAGGTCGATTTTAAAACATTACTGACTCAGAGTGAAATCAACAGTTATTTCACATTAAAAGCCAATATAACTCAACTTAATTTGCAGTATTATTTTGGTACCTATTGGATTCACATTAATGGTTTAGGTATCATGATTATTTAGTATGTTTCTCACTTAACTTGTAATAAAAGTAGCATTAGTAAAAAATGAGTTTTTTTCATAGATTGCATTCGGTATTCATTTGTATGAACCAGTAATGATTGGCAAGATGAAATACCACTTCATGCCATACTGATCAGATGACAAGTGTATGAGAAGGGAAAAGCCTGACCGGTCTGGCTCTTGACAGTGGACTGTGTATAATTGGTACAGAATTCAACAGACAGCTGAAAGCTTGGCAGCAATGTCTAATAGCGTGTCTTGAACTGCATCCCGGCCCACCTAAGCTGGCAAACATAACTGGTGCCAAATCGAAAATATGGAGCTGTTTTTTTGAACAGACAGAGACTGACACCTAACCAACAACATAGCAACACAGCAATCCTTGTTTTTTTCCTCCTTTTTATTTAGTGTTGTTTAGCGTCCTAGTATCAAACTTTTATATGGTAAATGTCAAAATGTGTGACACTATAGAACTGTTACAAGACTCAAGGAACTAGTAGAGCAGGAAGGAAAACAAAACCCTGAAAAGGAAACACTCTGAGAGCTTCCCTCCTACTTTACGTCCCTCTCTGCCCCCCCCCTTCTCAGCGATGCCAGGGAGCCTCATGGAGACTGACAGGCCTGCTACGTCTCTCCGTCGTGTCAACTAGCTAGCGCCCTCGGTTCCTTCTCGCTTCAATGAAGAGATAAAAGCCTATTGACTTGCCAGGCTACAGTTAATGCAAATTGGGCCTACTATCAATGTATTATTTATAAGGAGAGCTGCAGACATTTCCACAGAACTGGGAGCTAGGCTTACAGGAGATTAGGCATGCTATCTCATTCATTTACCAGGGAGTAATTGCTAAACTGTGGAGGAATTAGAATGCGTAAGGTTCCCCAAAGGCGTTTCATCTTGTAACCAGGTGGCTGCCATCAGACAACCACCTCCAAGTCTGTGATAAACAAATACACACAAGTGAAACTGATAGACTACATCTGTCAAATTGTCAAATGGTTTAAACTTGATGACGTCACTGCTAAAATAATAAGCATTTTTTTAAGCTCACTGAGTTGTTGATAAGTTGTTTTCCATGTTTATATTTGAGTCTTTTGAAGGAAAATAAAGATTACATTATGGTACTATTCAGCCCTCGTTAGTAAACCTAACTTTTAAATCATTTTTCATAAGCCTCAAAGACCGCCCCATAAGGTGATTGATTCTCCATACTTCAGCCAAGCAAAAATGGAAACTGCACAAATGAGCACCTATCATTTCTGGTGGCCATCTTTGATTGAGGAGGATTAAGGTACGGAGACACCCTATCGGTTTCCAAAGTGTGACCTATATTATTAAAACAGGATTCTTTCTGTGACTGGAACATACTCATTGCAAATCTCTCAAATGTAACACTAAAAATCATTGTATAAACAGCATCAAGTGGAGCTATGATAGCGCTAGCATGTCCAAGAAACAAGCAAACAGAGGTGGGATGTACCATGCGATTAAGAATACTAAAGTTGACTGCATTTAGCATACACTACGATCTAGATAAGAATGCATAGTTGAGACACAGCATTGAGGCATAAAGTGCTCCAAAAAGAACAGATGTGTCTTTTTACACTGCAAAAGAGAAAACTAACACGAAAAACAGCTTCTTCATGTGCTACATTTTCTTTGTCACTTTCTTGTTCTGTGAGACGCAAACGATCAACAGTGTTGGGACTGTCGGAGTGTCTTTTATCCCTTATCTTTTTCCACCAACAACACATAATGACTGTTTCCCCTCTTTAGTTGGGAGCTCAAATATGTTATTCACAACTCTCAGCCACTTCACGTGGGGAGTGAATGAACACAGGAAAAGCAGTCTTACCTTGTCGTCAATGTCACACTCACTGTCACACTGTAACAGAAAAGAGACAGACACAGGATACATAAGGAATTATTCATTTGGCTCCCCCCCCCCCCCAATAGCCCATAATCAGTGCAGATGTTATTTTTGTGTGCAACCTCTCATTCACTGACAGCTTTCAGTGCAAAACGGCAAAGGATGAAGAGGGAGAGGAGAGTGTGTGGTAGTCTAAGAGACTTTTTCATGTTTGAAAAGCGACACAGCGACCGCATTGAACACCATTCTGGTGTTTCTGTTGCAAATTCAATGCTGTAAATTTACAAAAGATGAAAAACGAATAACACTATACACTGGATTCTATTATGAGGAGTCTGTTCAATGACTTTGCATTCAGCTGCAGCTTGTCATTTAGCCTTTCAAGAGTGTGTCCTTGAGATACTATCGTCTAATTTAAAGCCGAGCTTAGACTCTCTGAATACTCAAAAACAGTGCCTATTAAGTGTGGTATTTCAAATCCGCCTTTGTCAAACCAGTCTTTAATTTCTATGTCAGACTTCTACAGGGATAAAGGAACTAAATAACAAGAGGTTGAACCCTGAAATATGCCTCGTCTGGCACAGCCAAAGGCCAAATCACCTGCTATTCAGTCGGAAAAAAGTGAAATGTTTCTTTCTTCACTTCAAATCTCACCATTCAAATACAAAGTGATTAGGCTCAAATATCTTCAGAGGTGCATCCTTAAAAATAACAAGAAAAAGAGAAACAAGTCCTTGTAACTGACAGAGGAGAATACTCCAGATATTAAGTGCCACAGCCTTGACATGTTCACAGGCAGAAAACTAATTATTATTAGAATTAGAAAATTGCATTCTAGAATGTGTTAAGTTAAAGTAAAGTCAATAATCCCGGTTTACTGTCAGTTGAAACACCAACTTTAATTTTCATGAAAAGCATGACCTCGTTCTCATCTTAAATCCGCTCTGCATGATCCTTGCTTCCGTTTCTCACATTCATTTGTGGGTAAATGCTTAATGCTCCTGGTTGGTAACTCTCTCTCCCCCAACACAATACATGGCAAAGTTGTGGAAACAGGAGTGGTCGAGCAGCAGGCCAGTCCCACTGGACCTCACAGCAGGATGCACGACGAGCAGAGCGATTCAAGCGAAGAGCCACATCGAGAGGGAGAGGGCCCCCTGTGAAAAACTGCCTTCAACCTGTCAATTAAGTCCCTGTGGCAACATATTTAAGTGGACCCTCTTTGTTTTGTTTGACTCCCTTTCAGAGCCGGGCACAATGAGGAGGGAGCTGGGTCAATGGAGGCACAGCGGCCCTTTGTTGTGAGTGCGGTGGGTCCAAATATATAATTAAGTAACGAGAGTAATCAGTGCAAGGGCTCATTGGCCAAGGTCTCTCAGGAGAGGAAAGTGGTGGTGGTGGTGGGGGTGCTTCCATTCCCCGTGATTCATCCTACTCTGCAAAGACAAGGGATACAGCTGGAGTCTTTGCTGGCAGACGTGAGAGAAGAACATTGTGGCTCAGCCCTTTAGGAGGGTTTATTGTCGCTTGCATCTCTATCTGCAGAATATCGACGTCAAGAAACGCCTGAGCTCCTATTGTTCATACTGACACATTCCTACACAAGACAAAAAGTACGAATATACATGCAGGATAATACAGTCAAATTACATGTTCAATACGAGTCTTTCTCCTTGTGAAGTGATTGTTGTTTATGATTCCAGAGCCTTGTCAGTAAGTATAAAGAAAATAAGTGTGAACGCAAAGGAAAGGTGCCTCATAATACTGCAGAAAATGCAAAAATGGCCCGACAATTGTTCTGTTCTTGTGTAAATATGATTGAAAGAAATGCAAAATGTCTTCTCTTATATGTTCCACATTTATAAAACAATTTTGATAACAATAATACTACTACTACTAAAAATAAAGCATGTTAAATATTGGCGACATTTCAACGCTTTGTGTCCTCTTTTCTCTTGGGGAATGTTTGCAGACCCTGTTTTCTGTGCCTCTGCTTGTGAAAAGACCTTCACTACAGAGTGCAGGGCGTTAACAAGAGAAAGTAGCTTAGGCTTCTTGTCAATCAATTCCCCATTCAGACTACGGATTCCAGACAAATGAATTGTCAGCCATTTCTATACTGCTTGTTAGTGGATCATCACAACCTATAATCACCACCCATTTGTTCACCACTCTGGTGGTGAATCACATTTAACACAATGTTTTTGTCCATCTTGATCCATCTGCGAATTACAATAAAAGGAAAATTGATCCAATCCCCAACATCGCCCTACCCCCAGGAAACAAGTGTAAATGTATTCTTAGCATGCAGCTGAACAGATGACTTCCATCTCACAGCAGTTGGGAGTTCTTCTCTATCCCTGGGGACGAGTTTAAACCCTAGGTGATGGAGATGAACAACTGGCTCGGTCTATTCCCTGGGTGCATGCTTGGCCTTGTTGTTGCAGCAGTAGCCATGAAACTAGAGATGAGGCCTCACAGGGCTGGAGCTGGCGAGGAGGGAAAAAATAATATCAAAAGAGCACAGCATGGTGCTTATCCTTTTACAAGAAGGCTGCACTGCAGCAGAGCATAAAGAGGAATACAGGCTAAGGCTCAGACAGAGAGACACAGCACAGCAGGGGAGAGAGAGGCAGGTGGAAAGGGGGAACAAAACAACAGTACGAACAGGCAGGGGGGATGCTATAGAGATGAACGGATGGACGGATGGAGGTAGTGTTCAAGCAGTTTTTGTCAGTATTGTATGTGATTGCCCTGTTGGGCTATTACACTTGGTCGAGTCAAAGGAAATAATACAATGAACCTATGAAAGTAATAGATTGGCTCCCATTTGTGAGTGCATGGGTGTAAGAAGAGGACCACTTCATTTAGGCCCCCTATGCGTCTTTGAATAGTTACACGGGGTAAAAGATTTTTTCGCAGGGCTATACAAGGAAACCAAAAGGTGAAAGAGCAAAGCCACAACCCCAAATAGAAAACTCCCTAAGCAGCATGTCTGGTGGTCAGAGGGGACATTGTTAAAATCGGAGAGATATGCAGCTCACTAAGCTGCTGACAGGAGTCAAGCCCCTAGTGGTTTGTGTGTCTCATAGATGTTCACCAACTAAACAAACGGGGGGGAAAACGGAAAAAAAACTGGCTTGCTCTTCAGCGGCAGGGAGCAAGCAGCAACATCTGTACCTGGCAACCGCCAGCTATGAAGGGTAACAGGGGACCAGCTTCAGTGGATGGCTCATGCACAACCCTCCCTCCCAGCATCCCACCTCCTCTCTAACCCCCTCTCCCCTCAGCCAGCACATCAGACTGATGCGTTTGACATTTACACAGCTTTCAACACTTCAGAGACAGGAGATTTATTCCACCAGCGGCCTTGGCTGGAGCCGGGCCCCGACCTGGGCTGGCCCCCATGACGACCCTGTAGCTCAGCCCTTCAATGAGGCAGCGAAAGGGGAAAAAAACAGAGAGGGGGAAGGAGGGATGGATGTCTCGATCCTCCTGTACATTTTCTCTGGCAGATTCTGAAAGACGTGCAAGGCGAAGACAATAAGCGCTGCGCATCCCGGAGCACATTAAAACGACTGGCCAAATTAATCACACAGTTCCACTTGTCACACTTGGAGGACAGTCTGCCATGAAGTCTGCCTCAGAGACAGAGAGAGCAGAAGAGGAGGAACTTGCCTGGCGACACAAATGCTGTGAAGGCGTCAACGACTGTCTGACTGAATACTGATCCCAGCCCTGTACTTGCTAAAAGAAACCTTAACACTGAATTGAGTAGTTTAGGGCGGCTACTTCATCTTGAGTCCTAAAAATATTTATTATGCGTCTTTAATTAAAAAATGTAATAAATGAGAAGAGAAAAAAATGATGCGAAATGAAAAAATTGAAGAAGGGCCAGGAGTCCGACTGAGCAGTGAGACAGCAGCAGCACTTGATCCCTGCACAAATGTAGACATCTTAATACTGACGAGAGAAATGGCTTCAATTCAGAAGACATCTCTTCAGGGACATTGACTGAGATAGTCCTGATTGTGAGGGAGCAAGTACGGACAAATCCAAATCTCCTAGAGTGAAAGCACACAGAGGGGGGGTTATGGTCCAGTTAGATAGCCGAGGACCAAAGCAATGTCAGATACTTCTGGAACAACACCAATTTCCTCCTGCAATTTCCCTCCTGCGGATGCTGGGATGAGTTGTTGGGACATAGGCGCAGTGGCCACTCTGAGGGGTGGAAGCAGAGGCTCGCCTAAAATTTCCAGGCCTAAAAGATCAGCGGGAGATCTGAAGGTCTCTTTGGCCTCGTGGCGAAGGGTGAAGCCTTTACTTGAACTCAGCTTCCGTAATCTATCGACAGGATGTTTAGTTGCGCGCTCTTACCACGTTAACTTTCTCACCACCTCACAGACACATTTAAGCCACAAGGAGCTACAAAGTTGAGGGAATAGTTTGTGCATGCGTGTGTGTGCGTAAGTATGTAAGTGGGATGGAATAACATCAGAATAGTCAAATAACAAAAGGAATATTTGATATGATTCACATAACCTTACAGTTTCATGGCTACTGTGCACCTTAACTAAAAAAAACTTTGGGTGCTTAACTGCTGTATTAATATTAGGGTTGCCAAGGCTCACATGTCACCACTGCATTTAACTCTCAACAATAGAGAAAAAAAATCAAGTGATCACTCTTGACACCACCAGCTGTATCTGAAAGCACCACCTCGCAAAGTGATTTGATCACAGGATCAAATCTATACAGCCATTTGAACCTTGACCTCCCCAGCGGGCAGCATGGGAAGTCAGCTGATTACCCCGGGTCAGCCTCGGAGCTCTGGATTAGGAAAGTATTGATCCCAGTGAAGATGTATGCTCCAGGGGGAATGAGATTGAGAGAAAAAAAACTCTGCTGGGTAGAAATAATATCGACCGGCAGAGGAGGCCTAGACAGGCTCTCACGTAAAACCATATTTGAGCTTGGGACCTCGGAGTTGGCTGTGCAAACATAGAGACGGCTTCAGAAAAAGCTCCTTTCACAGAGGCCCATTGAGAGAGGACAGAGAGAGAATGAGAGTGGAGGAGGATTGAAGAAGACAAGCTCAGAGAAATGCTCTTTGCATTAGCCAGACACACAGAGGCTTCTGGTTCAGAGCTGACACACTTAAGGGAAGAGTCAGCGGGGGCCATGTAAATCTAGACAGGGTGAGGAAAGATATCGTCCTGACCTGGGGCCAAACTAAGCAGATTTTAACATTACCCAGAGTCCATGTAAACAGCACTGAGACCTGGCCGCTCTCCGTTTCACTTCCATGCAAAGTATGTGGTGGGGTTGTGAAGGAAGAAGGGGGGGGTGCACGGACAGATTGATGGGGATAGTGGTGGGGGCAAACTTGAAGAGCTGTTCCCCTTCGCCACTAAATTAAAGGACCGCCTTGTCCTTTCCAGCAAGAAATACCTCAGCCCTTGCTTTCAGCTCTCGCTGGGGGAGCAACAGAGCCGACTGGGCTGGTGGTATGATCCTTGGAGTTTGGAAGGGGAAAAAACAGACTAATGGCAGATGTACGAGAGAACAGGGAGCATTTATTCAGCTCAGAGAGAAAGAAGAAAACTGCCAGAAACCTAAAGGGACAGGGAATACACAACTGTGTTATGAATATAGTCGTGGAAGAAAAATGGGGATATAGGTAAGAGAGAATGAGGAAAAAAATAACACTGATTTATGTTTTTATTTTTGCACCTCGTCTTTCATAAGGCTCCCTTTGGTTTCTTCTTGTCTCTGCTGACCGTGTGACTGTAACAAGCTCGCTATCTTGCCTTCAGAGGTGAACACACACACACACACACACACACACACACACACACACACACCCCCAGTGCTTTGACATGGCCCCAAGCTCGGTGGTGCTGAGCTGCAGCGGCAGACACTGGGCATTGGAAATTTAAGTCGGGGCGTAGGAGAAATTAGGCGAGGAGGCAAGGAAATGGGATGTTGACTTGAACTGGCCCCGGGGGCAGCTGAGAGTCTCCCTGTGCAGCTCCGCTGGCTGCCTGACAGTTTGATGGAGTGAGTGGAGGCTTCCCTGCGGCCCGAGCCGCCGTCTCTAACACTGATGTAGCTCAGTGAGGAACAGATTGAGCCTCCAGGCATCGCTCTGTACTGCTACTCCCCTCCTCTCTCACGCTTTCTCACTCTCTGTACTGCTACTACTAGCTCTCTCTCTCTCTCTCTCTCTCTCTTACTAATCCTGTCAACACACATATACATGCATATACATGCTACAACACAAAATCTCATACTGTATGCACACATAAAGACACTTAGATACACAGAAATAACAGCAACACCCAGAGAGAGCTTGGCTCCCTCCTTCCTTCTCCTCCCAACGACAGTAATGTGATGAGCACTACAGATGCTGTTTACTGAGCTCTGGCCGACACACAGGGGGTAGGAGGAGGAGAGGGAGGGTGGGATGGAGGAAGAGGCAGAAGGAGGTAGAGTCAGGGGGCTGGCAGGCCACCATAATGAAAAGAATCTGGCGGCAGCCCACTGTGTGCTGGTCATGAGAAGCATGTGCCGCCGGGGGGCTCTACTGCTAATTTCAGGGGGCAGCCGAGCGTTTCACGCTCGACTTGTCATCAGGCCAGAGGGGGCATTCATACTGGTTGACAGCAATTGCGAGAGGCCGGGCATGGGGTGTTTTGGGGAGGGGGAGCAAAGAGAGAGGGAGAAGGCTTCAGCTCCTTTCCCCCCGACTTGTACCTCCTGTCCCCCCTCTGCAATGATCAAACGCTATTGTAGGCAGGGTGCAGAATTACAAATGAGTGTCCTGTGGCAACGGTTGGAACTGGATTTAACTGCTCTTTCCGCTCTCCTCTCCACTCAGGTGGCCACGAGGGGCACACCTCATCCTCCAACCCCGGCTGTCCAGACAGGATTTAATTCTTGCATCTTCCGATTTAACATGACAATAATAATCTGCTACCGAAGCATGCAGTTTATAAGCCCACACCTTCAGACACAAGACTCGGGGCCTGTTTGCATCACTCTAAAGTTAATTGTGTCAACATATACTGTGATATATTACATTTTTCAGAAACTCCATTGTGAAATAATTTATAGATAAAATAACCATGCAAGAAAATCCAGCAAATATAACAAATCAAGGTACTTCCTCTGCCTGCTCGCTGATTTGCAAGATTGCCGGCAATAGCCTGATACACCCACAAACAATAAAGAGATGATACAAGTGTGATAAAATCTCTGATGGCTGACAAACTCGCCTTACTGTGTCATCATCATATTGTCTAGTCCATCCATGTCCTTGGTTTCTAGGAGCTCCCTCCATCTTCAGAGGACTGGCAGTCTGTTAAAGGTGAAATGACTGACGGGCACATCTTTAATCAGTGCCATCGATTGGCCTGAGGATTTGGTGCGCACTTGGGGTTTATCTCTCAACTTGGCTGGATAAAATGAGCGCAAAGTCATTAAAGAGTTGAGGCGAGAGAAAAAAAACCAGCAACAGAGGATGAAAACACCCCGTCAGCCCGACCCCTACATCGTGGATCCTATGAAGTAAGAGTGAGGGAGGTAGAGGGATGCTGGGGAGAGCAGGAGCTATACCAAGCAGTTGATACTAACAGCTGGCAGCCTCCCCCTTAAAAAAAAAAGAAGCGTCTGGCTCTAGTCTGGCAGCCACGAGAGGCAAGCGAGGGACAAGCAGGGATGAAAGGAGGAGTGTGAGAGATGGAGTCGGTGATGAAAGGTGGGTGGTTGATGGTAGATGAGTGGATACGGAATGGGATGGGGGGATTAACCAGCTTGCAAGGAGAAACTTCTGTTCATTGCCTCTGACACAAGCAGTCACATGAGAGACGGAGGAGGAGATGGGAAACAGAGAAATAGAGACAGAAAGCAATGCAGAGGGAAGGAGTAGAGAGGAAAAGGGGAGGCAGCCACATTGCACATCTTCAGGCTGTGAATAATTTAGAGGAGCACTGGGAGACGAGACGAAGATGAACACAAAACACTGGCAGCGTTTGACCTAGAGCTGCAGCTACATCAGTGCACATCACAGAGCGGAGAGCTCTGTCTCGCTCTCCCTCTTCCTCCCCCCGTCTTTCTCTCTTCTGCTCTTCATCTGCCTCCCTCTGTGTCAGGGAGGAAACAGCTGTACGCTATTCTTGTTTCGCCTCACATTATATGAAACTCAACAGAATGGCTGACAACTTTGTTTCACAAGGATCTCTCGCTCTCCCTCCCCGCTACGGGCACGTCATAAGAGTCTGGAAGCAGCGCGCAAAACAGATGCGTCTCCTATACATCTCTATCTACCAGACTGTACGGGGCAGTAGGGGCCGATACACGTCTGTGGCATCTCACATACACAGGGCTAATGATACTATCACATCCTGTGAGAAAGAACATTTTCACGGAATGAAAGCATCAACTTCAAAGAATTCAAACTTGATTCTAGCCGCCATCATGACCAACATTTTCTTAGACTTTTAATATTGGTTTTGGACTGTTGGTTGGCCAAATAATGCAATTTGAAGACGGGACGGGTATTAGTCTGACAATTTACTATCAGAAACATAATCAATAGATTTTTCAGTATAATGAAAATATTAATTAGTCGCTGTTGTACTACGAGATCTAAATTATTCACTTGATTAAACCTATTCAAAATGAATATAAAACGAGTGTATGATTTATGAAATTTTCAGTGAAATATATCTTGCAGAATGCCCACATCAAGCCAGTCTGCTCTGATAAGACCTGATGCAGTGTAAGTGAGGGACAGTGTTGAATGTGAGCAACCAGGCAGCGGAAAGTGTGGACAGCAGCAGTAAATAACAGCTGCCCTGTGATTAGGCACAGAAGAGGTTAAACAGAGCTCGTTCACGCCGCCTTTGTCAAGGTGCAATGAATCATCTAACCTACTGAAGTGTGTGTCTGTGTGTGCGTGCGTGTGCGTGTGTGTGTGTGAGTGAGAGTGAGAGTGAGAGTGAGAGAGAGAGAGAGAGAGAGATGAAAGTACCTCTGGGCATGTGGTGGGAGTGACAGTTGGGTGGACAGAGGGCGGTCTGATCAACCCAGAGGGGAGGGGCCATTTATTACTGTAATTAAGGAACCGTGGAAGTAGAGGAGCAGAGATTTTAAATGCACATAGAGTAAATCTCTTTCATTTGGTAAGAATGATAGCATGAGGCAAGTGGATAAATAGTAAAAACATGAGGACTAAGGATGGCAAACAAAACATGAGGTAACTTGGTTCCCTCTCTTTATTTTGTCGCCCGCTCCCTCCCTCCCTCCAACACCCTCTCCCTCTCTCTCCCACTGTCTCCTGCCCGGACTGCGTGGCTGATATTAATGGGACGTCCCTTGTTTGTAAATGTGCCAAGTTGTGTGCACCGCTGCGGGCTGTCTATTATAGCAGGCCTGTGGGGCAGCCTTTCCATATGGCATCACATATGGCACTCAGCAGCATCAATTAATGTTGTTATAATACTGATTTTTATGAGCTAGGGTTTCACTCCTTTCCTCTCTTCTCTACCCCTCCCCCTTTTTTCACCCACTGTCACCGGTTCTTTGATTCTTCAAACTGCCTCTCTTCGATTCCTCAAACCTACGACAACCTGGCTTCTGAACAGTAGAGGATCCGAGAGGTTTTCCGTGCCAGATTTTGAAAGCTCCTACCAGCTCTACTGAACATCGCTCAAAGACCGCGAACATGACTGTGTTCCCGCTACACTGCAGAAGAAGGGTAGTACTACTACCAATGTGTCAGAAACGTTGCATCTTCTCTGAAGCTGAGAGACTTCAATCAATGATATATGAAAGAATATGAGACAGCAATTACACAGACTGAAAACTATGTTCGGTGATATTACATATCTGCAACCAAACACTGCATTTACAGCAACAATTGTAGTTTTTGGTCACATTAGGCCAGCATCAGGGCCTATTAGAGTGTTAAATTAGGCCTGTATTTATATGCACAAAGCAATAGGCAGATGGATGTAAAAGCAGAATCGGAGGGGCCTTTTTGTTCCCTGGTGCCTTTGGTTGTGGATCTGACAGGAAGGGAACAAGAGCGTAGCAAAAAGCCCCGCTTAAAAAGCTCCCAGCCACACCAGTCTTGTCAGCGACGCCACAATTAGAGACTAGATCACTGGCGCTTCCCAGCGAGACACATCTCACCACCACTCCTCAATGGAACTCTTTTCGTTTGAGGAACACACTCAACGCTGGGTTATAAAACGTTTCGGATGGCTAATCACTCTCAGGATGAAAGGCCCTGGCGTGTTCGTTTGTCTCAGCGTAGGGAGCTTCCCTCGCCGTTTCTCTGTGTCTGATTCTGATTGTTTTTGTTCCTTTCTTTTTCAGCATGCAGGCGAGGCAGGCGAGCTGGCAGGCAGCGCTGTTTGAAGGTGCAGTCAGACCCGAGTGCAGGCCTGATGCTTTGTAGTGATATTTCCAGCAGCACAATCTCATTACTTTTTGACGTGGGGGATGCGTGCAGGGGGTGGATTGTCATTTCACGCTGTCAAAAGTTCCGTGAGGGAACGGAGACGGGAATGGAACTTCAATGACCTGCGTGCCTCCGCCTCGTGAAGACTGAATATATTATACCAAATAACATAGATAAAATCCGATGAACCAGATCCTTTAAGATGCTTGTAAACTTAATGTCCATTCCCCAGGGGCGTTGAGGGAATCTCACTCCTTATCTGGACTCTTTGTAATTGGATCTATTTCCCAGCCTCCTAAACCTGTCACTATACATGCCCTGAACCTAATTAACCTACACCCAGCACTGCACATACAGGCAGGCAGTGCATGTTCATATGTAGCTAAGACAAACACATCTTTGTGTTGAGAGGAAAAGTCCTGAGGGCATCGTCCCACACCTCTTAAAGATGGTGGGAGCTTCTGGACGTTTTCACATGGGACAATCATTGGCAGCCCCCCCCTTAAAAAAACTGGGGGAGGTATCCCTCGGAGTTGATTTCACACAGAGTTCTTTCAATACAGAGAAAAACTTTGCTCTGTTGAAGAAGCTGCCAGGCCTTGATTGAAGCGCCTGGTTACTATGCGAACCCCAGCCTGTTGCTGGGGTGACTGTCCCAAAGTGCTTCCTGGGTAATTTTCGAGGTCACTGGTTTGTGCACGCCTATGTGGTGCAGATGGGCCCACCCTCATTCAGGGCCCAGCAGGAACTCTTTCATTAGACCCAGTGAATGGCCTCATTCATCCCCTTCACCTCAATTGGTCATGCTGGGTCTCCGCAGAGAGCCCAGGACAAACTTTTCTCTCTCTCCACTACCTAATCTTCCACGCACCACCCACCTTAGTCATGCTTCACTTTTGTTCAGTAGCATGTGGTAGCTGAACCTCCAGGCCTCATCTGTGGGTGCAGATTACCTTAGACCGCCCACATGTAATGGGTGGAACGTAACAGACTACTGACATGCCGTCTTCGTTTATCTTGAAGAATGTTAAATAAAAACATTCCGTGACACATTATTCACTAATAGATCATTATGTTATCATGACGGGGAAAACAAAATCTAATTATTTAAATCTGGTAACATCAATCCAACACATGCCCATGAAAATAATAATCATTCAAATGCAGAGATAAGTGTTTTGCACAGATCTTTGAGTTATTAGTGCATTAATGCCCCGTTAGATATTGCTATTTCTATTGCAGTGTTGCACAAAAGACCCGAAGGTCTTCCAGCAGAAGTCAGAGCGATTTCATCCGGAAGTTTCCTTTCAATCCACTGAGTCGCTCCTGTAACTGCAGTGCTTAGCCATGCTTGTAGGTCCTCTACTCCCTGCCTCTTTTTGGCCCTCAAGTGAGTCTCAGGTCTGGCCTAGTGAGAAGTGACTAATTGTCTTGAGTTGTTAGTGTGCCTTGAATGAGATCCACTGCAGTCTGCGACAGGGTGCAGGATAATTTTGTTTCTCCCTCCCTCCCTCCTCCCCTCTCTCCCTCTTTCTCGTTCTTGCAGCAGATTTACCCCTTCTGCTTCTCAAGCTACTGAGCTGTAAAATTGAGTGGACGGCAGGCAGGATAAAGAATGAGACCTGGCATCGTAGACGCACTAACCTTGAGGAGGGCCACTGCTGCTGGCTGCACCTAAAGAGATGGAGACAGAACGTCAGCCATATTGGACTGAAGTAAGGATAAAATGAGGAGGGAGGAAAGACCAAAAGGTAGAGAGAAAGGTGGAAACCCTTGCTGAAGAAACAGTATGACAGCTTGGTAAAGCAAATCTACATCAGGATGCACATGCACACTACAAATAGATGACGGGGTGTTAACCACGGATAGAGAAAAAGGTATTAGCGATCGTTTAAACTGACTCCGTCGCTCTTCTTAAATTCCTCGTACTTTCTCACCACCATCTTTACGCTATAATACACTACATGATGTCTTGCACCGTTCATTCCTCAGCCACTGCAGTGTACCTCTCAACCTTTGCAATTTGATAAAACACACTGAACACTTTAAATGTCTGACAAAGTGAGCACATTTTTTGAGAACAGTGTATCATAAAAACGACCCTAGTAGTTCTAAAAAAAACAAAAAACCCCTATCCTTCGTAATGAAATCAACTTGTATAGCCACCCATGGAAAGAATCCCAGCAATCAATTACTATGAATCACAAATACACTAGCTGCAGTTTAGATGTGAACAAATGGAGAGCCAGTCCCTTACAGCTGATATTAGAGCTCTGAGCTGCTCTCTCTGCCTGAGATTAAGCAGGTTTGTACTCTCCGAGGCGGACAGTGCTCCCCCCCCTCCCCCCTCCAGTGTGCCGCACTATCATTTGCAGGAAAATTACTTCAGTAATGAAGAATCCAGGCCCATAAATCCTCATGGCCTCACCTTCCTTTGCCTCCCAAGTCTCGCTGAACAGCTAGTAAAAATCCCCTTTAAAAAATTCATGGCGCAATTTTGCTCAAATCCCTCCCAGCAAGCACAATTATGGAACTTTCATCTCAATTGATTTATGTCCTGCACTGAGAGAGGAGGGGTGAAGGGAGGGGGGGAGGGGAGAAACAAAACAAGTGGTAAATCACTGTTTTTAAAAGGGAAGGCGTTAGGCAAGTTGTCACTTTCACCGCATGTGTTTTGTAGTGCATGAGATAGAGAGGTGCCTGGATGGGGGGGGGGGGGGGGGGGGGGGGGGGGGGGGGGGGGTCTGACGGGTTTCAAAGCAGGATTGTAATGGCAAAAAGGAGGGCGAGGGGAGGGAGATTGGAATGAAAGGAGTGGTATTCCACTTGATTAATAACACTAATCAAATTATACAGTGTTCCACTGTGCCCTGAAATCTGGGGCCATAATGTCCTCTAATGGCGTGGTTCACAGAGCTAAACTTCGGAGGGAAAACATGGTGCTGACTGCTGCATGCCTTAATGAAGGCAGTAAAACATCCATTTCCAGAAGCCATGAAATGAAAGGCAAGATTGTAGATGTGCACCCAGTGGCTCTCTCACTGCAAAAAAAATAAAAAAATGGAAGGCTGTTAAGACAAAAGACAGTGTCGGAGAGAGAGGGAGAGACAGACAGAAATATGCAAGACCTTAAGAAGAGAAATGAGGAGAAAATAGTACTAGTGAAGAGATGTAAAGGGCAACAACAGCAAGAGTAAGGGGATACGAGAAGAAAAGGAATGATGAAGTGTGGATAGAAAGACAGATTGGTAGATGCCCTCAGTGCTTTATTTCCAAAGAAGGCATGAAGACAATCTGTGTCTGCTGATTATGGATGAGCCAGGCTGCTTTACTGTGTCTGTTATACTTAGTGCTGCTGACAGAAGCCACAATTCATCACTATTTAGTTGCTGATGCACCTAACAGCAGCATCCTCCCCCTCATCTATCTCAATGCCACTCTATTAGGGTATTCCCTCTGTCCATCCAGGCGTGCATTCAGTTGATCCATCTATCCATCCGTATTTCCATTTGTCCGTCCAGCCATGTGGGCATTCGTCTCTCCATTCATCTTTCCATCCACCTGTCTGTCCGCCTATCAATTCAACCAATCTTGAGTCAATAAAATTCTGCTCCGAGATCTGACAACGATATTGCTTTGACCTCGGCTGCCGGCTAGTTGCTGTAGGTAAGAGGTTAGCTTGTTATTTCTAGGCATTTTGCCAAAAGACAGTATGACTTCTGTCGGCAGTGGCAGACTATGTCTGACATCAAAATCTAACCACAACACGTACAGATCAGTATGGCTCTAGTCACAGAGTGTAGTGCTGGAGATATGTTTGCTGCACTTAAACTATGTGAAACTTCAGACACCTAAATGTATACAAACGCATTATGGTTTACATTTAATCTACTAAATTGCACATGCTACAAACAATCAAGGCAGCCGTTGCATCTTGAATAAAGCAAGTGTTGTGCATTGTCCGTGGGGCACAATTTCATCTGGAGAGCAAGGGGGGGAAAAGAACAACAAAGCTGAGAAAACACAGATTGCTATTGTTATTATTATCATAATTATAGTTGTGCTTATCGTGCAAGCAGCCTCAATCAGGATGAAATACAGTTTCATTTCATGAAGCTTCCTGTTTTGACTGGCTTGAGTTTGAGAACCACACACTTGGCTGGCGTGCCAAAAACGCAATCAGGCGCAATTACATAGCCATCAGATAGAAATGTAATTGATTTGAAAGCTGACATGAGATATAACTACATTACAGTGGAGGCACAGTGGGGAGGCTCCTTGGGGACAGCGCCTACGGGGAGCTCATTACCGCCAAGCTTTGAATTATTGAGCGCTAAGGCAGTGACATTGAGGAGAAGAGGCGAGGGATTGGCTGCTACGACTCGCCAAGTGTTTATCTCAACTTACAGTGATCTGACCATGCCTGAATATTGCACTGGGAGAAGTTGTACTGGTTCATAATTGAAAGGGTTCAGGCCAAGGTAGCGTCTGTGGCTGCACATCATACCAGCTATTTCCATATCTAGTATTTGTGATGAGTTCAACTAAGGCTTCCGCGGCAATGACACTACCTTGTCCTCGGGTCACATATTTAGCACTTAGCTTAGCATGTAGTTTGTGGATTATCAGCCTATGGGTCATTTCTGAAGTAGTGAGGGGTGACTGTTGGGAGGATAAAGATATAAGTCACCCTCCCCCAAGACACTGGTGGCTGCCTACCTCTGGGAGAGCTGTGCCTCCTAGGCTTCTGCCACTGATCTCAATCTGTATCTCTCATTCTTTCACTCTTCTCTCCTTCCTCACACAGCCCTCCTATGAGCTTTCTCACAAAAATGAGATCTCAATTAATTCAAGCGAAATGAGGACGAGGGAGGAATAGGAGGACCCAGGAGCCCAGAGAGACAGAGAACAAGTAAGATAGGGGAGCCTAACAGAGCTGCTTGTCGATCTGCGGCCTGGAAACTGCAAACAGAGCACGGGGTGACTGTGCATGTGCATTAAGTCTTTTGCCAAGTCAATCCTTTGTGCAGTTTAAACATGGCTGATGAACAAATGCTCGTCATTGCAGAGGTATGGTATATGCTGAGTAAATATACTGTTCGGAGAAAAGCGGACAAAAATAGAAGAGCAAAGCCTGAAAGAGATGAAGACAGGGCAGACATGATGACACGCAATTCCCTGCGTGTTGTTTATTACACGGATGCTGGGAGAGTCTCACAGGTTGACCTTTTATTAGAGCTCAGTGATTCGAGCTCTTATGACACAACGGTGACAGATGCTGTAGATGTAAAATTACAGTTCCAAGTATCCCCTTACAATGAACTACATGTCAGAGGCAATGAACAAACTGTGGTGTGAGAAAAGCTGCATGTATGTCAGTTTATGAATGTGACCTGTGACCTATGCCCTTATGAACAAGGACCTCATGGGAGACTGCCATCATCAATCTTGAGTAAGCCCAGTCACCCTGCTTATTGCTATAATAGGGAGCCACAAGCCACCACACAGCTCAGCTAAATTTCTCATAGCCTTGCAGAAAAACTGGCAGAAAACCAGCTGTTAGCAGGGGCTGCCGCTAGCTTTGAGGTCACTAGCGCACACACACAGACATTCTACACACACACACAAAATATGTGATATGAGGTGGCACACTGCAGTACTCCCAGCAGCTACATATGCTAAGTAGGTTAAAAACAAATTGACACTGCACCCACTTTTTCCATCTGGATTGTTGCTCAAAGTACACAACTGTTTTACGTGTGTGTCACCGAGAAGTAGACAAACAAATAAGGATAAATGGCCCATTTCTACTGGAAGACAACTTGTAAGCGGCGAGATGTTATCTCCAGTGCGAAGGTGTTATAAAAGTAACCACCCCGATGACAGAGCGTAAATCTCACAGCATTCTGAGATATTTTTTATGACAAGGCTAGTAAAATAGGTGAGTCAGATAGTTCCAGATTTTCATATGATAAATACCTTGCATGTAAGGAGCCGGGGGGAGGGGGATTGTGGCAAATGTGTTTCCAAGAAAATCAGTCTGCCACTAGTACTTAGAGTGATTGAATAGCCT